GGGGGGGGGGGGGGGGGGGGGGGGGGGGGGGGGGGAAGGCCACATTTATCGTAACCAGGTTCTATGATACCATTTGAACACATCGGAAATCTACAATTGTATAATGAATTTGTGCCTAAGACCCACTCCAGGACAAAGTACAGTGTAAGACTACAGTCTGGTTGAGATTACTTTTGTTCTGGCTCGTCTCAAAGAATCAACATCTCTTTTTCACAATTTTCTTTTGCAAAATTTAAAGCACAGCATTCAAATTAATCTTCAATGTGTATAGGAGCAACGGGATTAAAAATTGGCCTCTCCTTCTTTGATTGTATTTTACCATAACTGACTTCAAAATCTTTCTTAGTACCATTCAGGCTTTCTAGAGTTCCACTCTTTATATCATATCCCAAAGCAGCGAGTTTTTTAATTCGGTACTGAACGATTTGCGTTGTCAACTCCAGCACCATTGGCGTCTCTCTAATCTGCGCTACAGAAATTCCTTCCTTCAGTAGTCCTTCAAGTCTTTCTTCCAGAACCGGAACAGAGTAGTAGAGAAGCGCTGGGCATTTCAGCACTAGCTGTTTTAATTCTTGATCACTGCACTGAAAGACATTTTTGGAAAAAAGCATACTCTCCTGCATAGTAGTAGAAGTAAGTTGAAAAATGAAACCTTTAAGTTTGGACAGCAGCTGTAGAACTTCAGGGTCAGTAAAACCATTCTTCTGGAGAAATTCCAAGTTCTCCTGGATTGCAGTGGATGTATTTAATAAAATAAATGGATTTTGGCTCAATAGCTTCAGTATCCAGGTCTTCATATTTTCATGAGAACCTCCTAAACTTAAATAATTTCTTTGTAATGTCTCTATCACGTTTTTGTTTTTCTCAACAGGATTATAGAAAATATTGGGTGCGCTTGTCAGGAACCTGGTGATTATATTATTCTTAAGTCCCAGCTCTTGAAAAAACAGTATATTTGCCTTCTGGTTCTCATGATATTCAGTAGTAAAAAAAGATTCTGGAAATTGCTCTATTAATTTAATCAACTGTTTTTCATTCTGGCATACTAATTGCCATAGAGCTCTCTGAGAGTTTATCTCTGCAGGGGTATGGAGAATTGCCTCTGGGCAGCGTTCTAAAATGTTGGCTACAGCAGTCTCATCTGCTCCCATTTCTTTTAAGATACCAGCAATTTCTTTAACGTAGGCCGTATCCTGGAGAAGGACCCATTCCTTTAGTCTGCGTATTTTCTTAATGTCAACTGAAAATCTGTAGAGACTCTCAATGGTTTTTTTATTTTCCTCTCTTGATTTTGTATCAGTTGTGTAAGTGGAATGTATTAGGAAGCTTCTCTTTGCTACTTCATTCCATACTGATGAAAAATTCCATCCTGGGTAACGGTACTGCCATCTTGCCAACAGAAGAGTAAATGTGTCTTTTGCACCGTGAGCGACTCCTCTCAACATCATGGAATTCAGCTCTATGGAGAGAGAACAACTGTGAGAAAACATGTTTAAGGCACAAGTTAATGTTCCGAGATGTTGCTATTTAGGCTGAGCTGGCATAAGAAATTACTCTTAAAGAGTGTTTTTTGTTACTACCACAAAATTCAACTTTCATGCGAAAGCTGGGGGGGAGGAAATACTTTTGAAAGGTTAATGTTCTGACGAATTCCTCACTGGAACAGTAACATGTGGATGCAATAGACCTGATGCAGGGGGCAGCGATCTGTCTGTGCAATTTGCTTGCAGTCATATAAGAACCAAACTGTCAGCTAGTTCCTGCAGCTAATATTATTACATTACAGCTCACTCACACCACGCTAGAAAAATGTTTCACGCAGTTTAATTTGACAGTAATTCTACTAAATGATCTAAAAACAGGAAAAGGAACTTACATATCTTTCTTAGCCCTTATGAATGTATTTGCTTAACTTCTCAAGCATTGTTTGGAGCATGACTTGTTCCTTCATGTGTCAGACACACACCCTGCCCCCTCCACCTGGTGCTCCTTCAGCTGCAGTTAGTAGCCTAACTGCATTTCAAAATCTTGTTATCATTGAGGAAAACAAAATCTTGTTATAATTAAGGAGAAAGTCACTGAAACCTTTAGTTATGTGTTTTGCACTAGCTGAGTCTGTTAACTGAGTTCTGAATAAGCACACTGGTATTTCAGGGGAGGAAGCACATTCACTGTAGCTTCTTCAGGCCTTTACTTGCCTCTTCCAGTACCCAGTTTGCTACAGCTGCCCTTTGCAATGACCCCTGATTTCTGTCTCCAGGTCAATTCTGTTGTTGCCAGCCACCCCCAGTAGGCAGAGTCCTTGTGCACCCGTAGGAATTAGGTGTGTGGCTGTGCTGGGGTCCATGTGGCAAACGTAGGGCAGCAGTGGGCCACCCCACACCCCACCTTTGCTCAACTGACTGCAATGTATCACCACCACATGTGCTGCCACCTGCTCTGCAATGGCCAAAGGAGCCGCAGCAGCTAACAAAGGTCTCATCAAGTGTGTCTTCAACCTCCTCAGTGGTGTTTTCATAACAACCTTTTAGAAGCACAGAGTGTGAAAGGAAGAATTGCTGGCCTGTGACATACTCACATGAATTGCTGCTGCTGGTAACGTTTAAAACTGCTCAAATTGATATGAGAAAAAAAAATACAATTTGTGCATTTTGTAATTCTATTTATACAGTTGCTTTCACCTCTCCCAAAGTATAGCGTGCTTCAAAAATTTAGGCTTGGGTTTTTTTTAGGAGAGAAAAGACTGTTAACAATCATGTAGTCTCATCTCCTACCCAACAGACTAAGAAGCCTATTGCAGTACCCCTATACGAGACCCCTAGAATCTTTATAGCCGTCTTTTAAAAAAATATATGGTTTGTTTAGAGAACTTAAGTGATAGAGCTTCTATCTAGTTTCCAGGTAAGGTTAAATATTTTACAAGGGTAAAATACTTTATCTCAAGACAATGTACCTTTGCTTTTAAGTTGATGTGTTTCAGCTTCTAAAAGCTGGACTCTGTTACATTACTACATCATAAACTGAGTAAGACATAAAAATAATTTCCTATATGTGAACTTATGTTATTAACAGAAGCTCTTCGTTGGTAACTTGGTTTTTAGTATTATTTCAAATCTCTGAGGCAAAATCTGATTGCCTAATCAAGCTGCTTGTGTCGTAACCCCAAGGCTAATGATTTTATCTTTATAAACTTTGTGTCTTGAGAAGTGCTGTCCAGCGAGTTCTACCACAGAACAAGAGATTTTTCCCAGTAGTCCTGAAAGCAGTCTTAAGTGTAGGTAAGTCACAGGCTTTTCGTGAGCTGACCTTTCCATGTCCTGAAAAAGTTACTGTTTCACAGGGACTGCAAACTAAAGCCTCTCCTCCACAGGGAGTGACACAACCGCCTGTGTCTGAGTACTCTTGAGTAGTTCTATTGAATTTAGTGGGTCCAGTCAGAGTAAATAAACCTCAGAAGGATCAGGGCTTTCTTCATTAATGCTTCAGCTCAGCTGGAAACTGCCAGCAAAATAAAGTATTGCTAAAATTGTTTGGGATGTCAGATGATACATCCAAAGTACAAACTAACTAACTATGACTTTTACTTCCATGTGTAATCCTGCTGTTAAAACAAAATTGTCTTGTGAGTAATGCAGTCATTTAAAATACAGTCATTTTATCTATTATAGAGCTTTTTAAAAATTCTGGTCTAGTAAATTGTCCTCTTCTAAGATCTGACATGGAAATGATTATGTTCACTTAAAAGAAGGTTTATGTTGTCAAAAAAAGTTTGACATCATAGCCAATTTTTTTCCTGTTGTTAGTGAGGATCACCCATGCAGAAACACAGATTACTATAAAAGGAATTTATCTGCTGAGCCACATTTGACTGGGGTATTCAGGAGTCCTTGTAAAGCACTAAACAAAACACAACATGCAAAATAAGATGAATGGATTTTAATGTCATGATGTTCTATAGAAAATTATGAAGATAATTATAAGTTATAATTTGGTGTATTTCAAAGTTCACAGATGTCACTATCACATTTCTCGGCTAGGTAACCTCTTCCAAGAGTTCGGAGTTCTCTTAAAGCTCATGCTGGACTACTGTTCTAATACACAGGACCCCACTGTAACTTTTTACATACTTATAGTGCTGTGGGGACTGTAAATCGAGAGATAAAAAAAACAAAAACAAAAAGAGCTTAGATGAGAGATTGGTTGTCACTGCCAGCAGCACCCTCTTATCACCAGGTGTCTTAACAGCAATAAGGAAGTGAACTAATATCTACCTGGAAGTTACCCGTGATCCTACTTGCTAGCACACTTGCAGTGACCTATATCTACAGAGTAAAGGGGTGTTACAAGTTTCATTATTTAATAAGACTCCTATGTAGATCTATAGGAAGGGGATACTAGGATCTACTAGCCGATTCATCCCTTATTTCTCAAAAATCCCTCAAAATTTTTGAATGCCTATTTTGAGACTCAAATCTCACTTTTCAAAAATTAACAAACCAACCTCTTGCTCATGTTGTATTTTTCACAAAATCTCTCACTAAAGAGAGCAACAGTATGACTACTAATGTATGCTGGCCACTACCATTCTCATTACAGCAAACTGTAGCCAGGTCTTAGTAGGCTCTAGAGAATTAAATGGAACTACTAAATACCTAGACTGAACTTTGAATTAACCAGGGAGAGTAAGTATCTACTAGAAGAGAGCACTGTAGACAGGATTTGAATAGCTTAAGAAAGCTGGAGCATTAATAAGTAGCAGTTTTGTAGATCAATGCATAGTAGAGCAAGCATTCCCATTTCTGCAATTACAGACAAAAAATGAATTCCTGCTTTGCATCAGTAATGAGGTAAAAGAAGGATTACAAAACTACGCTAGACCAACATAAAGCTTTGCAGGAAAAAACGGTACAAGATTCTAGGACAATCCCAAGTTGGAAGGGACCTCAAGAGCTCAACGCAGGGTCTTGCTATCAGGTAAGACCAGGCTGCTTTTTCCAGTCAAGTCCTGAAAACTTCCACTGATGGAGCCCACCCAGACTCTCCGGGTTGCCTGTTCTACTGCTTGACCACCTTCGTAGGAATAAAAAGCTTTTCCTTATATCCAGGAAAGGAAAAACTTTTTTTTAAAAAAAAGCTTAATGAAGCACAGCAGTTTAAACCAAAGGTCACCAAGCAGTGCTTTCAGCAGGGAGAAAACGATGTCTCAGTCACAGCCTGGACGCGCACGCCAGCCGGCGCCCATCGCACCCCGATCTCTCCCCCCGGGCCCCGCTGGGGTGGAGGGCGGGAGGGGCCCGTTCTCCTGCCGCCGGACCGGAGTTTTC